TACAAAAGTGCATATTAGTGTAGAAGTAGTGAAGTAGATTAAGAAGATTTCATAGTGATGAGGATTAAGGAGATCTTTGTAGATCTTCAGTTAATTCATTGTGCATTTTGCCCTCAACTACACACGCTTCCTCCCGCAGTGCTACAACGTCGATGAAGCAGGTATATATTACGACATGCCCACACGCTACATCTGGGCCGTCCGCGGCGGAAGCTCCAAGATCTCAAGCGGAGAGAAGCACTCACTCCGCATGACGGCAGTCCTCACGGTGCGTGCGGAACAGTGCTGTCGATCCTCTTCATCATTCGTGGCCTGCCAGGTGGACGAATCAAGACCAGCGAGTTCCTATGTTCCCCGATGGCCACCACTACGCCGTACAAGAAAAAGCATAGATGGACAGTCGTGTTTGGGCTACGTACCTTCGAGAAGTCCTGTGCGATGCGATCGTCGAGCCTTCGGTAGTCCTGATGGACAACTTTGAGTCACACGTATCGGATGAGTCAAGATCATGTACATGTACGAAGAGTCCCTTCCCCCGAATGTGACGTATGTGTGTCAGCCACTCGACGTCGGCGTGATGGCGCTGTTCAAGCGCAACCTTCGGAAGCTGTGGCACTTTGTGAAGAAATCATCGTCGGGGATGACGAAGATCCGTTTTCTCTCACTGCACGCGACAAGCGCATGGCTCTAGTGAAACGATCGATAGCCGCATGGGAGCTGGTGTCGAGCGACGAGATCTGCCGTAGTTTTGAGAAAGCGCAGCTTATTAAGTGATGGATGGTAGGCACTGTTCAAGTGTTCTATGAGATCGTATGTCAAAGTATGTTATCCAATCAACTGATGATATTCACGTTGGCCTCGAAGACAAAAGTAGGCTTTACATTCCCTGTAATGCATCGCTACTACTATACATAGTACGTCGAGGTGCTCAAAAGTAGACATCTAACCGCATAAAGTTATAGAAAAATCCCACTTGACACTTATATAATCAGGACACTTTTGATTTACGAACTACGGTAGGCCACTGTCAACAACTTGACCCGTAAATAGTTCAATACTTGCTTCATAACATAGATATGCTTATGGGCCTTGCGTGTATATTGCCCATTGAAGAATTTCCTAAAAGCCTTGATTCGCAAACGCGTCCAGCTCAACTGTGAACACAAAATATCACTTTAACTCTCCCAAAACGGTCGCACCTTCCTACTACGTACTAGTACAACGCAGTATAACTTGTGTATTACTACATACGTAATGCAATCAATAGCATTACCACTAGTACGCATCACATTTACCTTTGATATGTGACCTGTACAATAGAGAATTGGTCAATTGGAACCCCGCAATTTTTGATTTGCTTGAGATCTCATGGGATATGATAATATAGGACCAGCTCCCTACTATTTCGTCAATTCACAAATGAAGAGCGAAATTTTATGTTTGCTACAGATTCGTATATAACTGAGGTGGAAGATTTAAAAGTTGCGAAATCGTAGGGGTGGTGTGCGCCTACGATTACATACAAAGGTCAAGTTCTAGCCTACTAATTCCGTAGAAGTAGGGATATTCGGACGAGTACAGAGAACTACTAACTGTAAATGCAAGGCCGCATTTGACTGCACAGGCAAGTGTAATGTGAACATCGTTACGTGATTGGCTAACTAACTTCAAGGTACCTTTACATTTTCTGCCAATGGTTGATGTGCATCGAAAATATTGTTGACTGGTTATTAACTAACTCCCCTAGGACCATTTTAGTACGTCTAAGACGAATAAGTATATTTTGACGTACGTCTACTGTTAAGTAAATATATAATGAGCTAAATATAGACAGAACAGAATCGCCCCTACTCATGTCGCTCAATAAAATTTCATGAAGATTTCTTCTCTTGACTTAAGTAAACAGGCTTCAGACAAATTAGTTAATTCGTACGTCTTTAGACGTACTGTACGCCTTAAATTAATATTGTGGAGAAAATAAACTTACAACCTTAAACACCTCAACGTAGCATAATGTGGAATTTGACAAATCAAGTCTTCCTCAGGTCGTAAGTTATGTGTTTCATAATAATAAAAAATAACGTCGAAGTCAGTGATACTATAAACCTTACGATCAGTAGTTGGGTTAATGAGCAGCAGATCAAGTAAATTGGAAATAACCCATACGACTACAATAAAGCTCACCACTTGATTATAGATCGACTAACTGACGAACTACTCGATCTCCGACGTGATGTAGTACTGATGTAGTACTGTATCACAATTTCACCCACTCATACTATTCGGAATTTTCCTACTACCTGATTCTTACTGACAAGTTACACAACTTTATTAAGTCGTATCGCATTGTTTTTCGACGTGAATCGAGTATGTTTGTACCCAAAACGTGTGCAAGTTGATTTCATGGTGACATAGACGAAGCTGGTGTGTAAGCACATTGAATTTAACACGAGTTCGTGCTATATTCGCTGAGATATTCGGATTCCTCCACAAGTGCCTACCACCACCAAAGTATTGACCGAATTATTACGTTATATGATAAAATCTTTGATATCCCATAGATGAGTGCATCTAGAAGAGATGAAAAACTGAACTTCCTGACCTCCGATTGACCTGCAAATAAGTGGAGGCGAAAGAGATAATCTGAGTATTCGAATTAATTGTGTTGTGGATGGAAATCGTAATGCAAGCTCCACAACCTTCATTATTTTTTCCAATCAATGAACGTTATGGTTTTGATTGGTCATAAATACACTGTGCTGACATACTTGTGCCTCGTATCACTAACCTTGGAGAGGTGCAGTCGTCGACACAATGCCCACAAGGCACACATGATTCCAAGGGTATCGTTATGCGATGGACGAGTTGGTGGTGGTATACTTGATTAATAACTTTGCATCACTTGCGTACGTAATCACTACAAATAAACACGTAGCATGGGGGAATAAGTGAATTGGTTGTTCTTCTCAGCATCAGCCATCCTCCAAAGCTTCCTTGCACGCCGATGGGACCCCAGCATGAAATGGTACAATTAACTATCACTGCCACACATCGTAATCCGTTTTCACACAACTTAGAGTGTACTTGATGGAATGGTGGTGAGATGCGCAGTGCCAGTGGTCACAAGTGCTGCGCATGTCATCACCATGTCACCAAGTACCCTTCTAGTGAACAAAGTAGTGTGACAACTTGGTGGCAGTTGGTGGTCGATTTAGAGACACAGAGTCGATATGACATGGCTAGTCGTGATAATGTACTGCATGTACTGCATGTACTGTACAATGGAGTGATGGGGTGGTCACATGTGCAGCAATCGTAGTCACTGGGGTAATGTTAGCAAGGTTTTTGGGCATTATGCTGGAGCGTAGGGGTGGGGTGATAGTTGTAGGTAATCACTTTGACTACTAGTCAGTAATGCTCCAGGATTACGATAAGCTTAGTCAAAGTCACAACTACCGGGAACGGTAGTTATGAATGCTGGGGCTCCAGAGGCCGTGACTGGGGTTCATTACTATGTCTACTCCTGACCTCGACAGTGGAGATGTATGGTGGTGTGAGCGTGCGCAGAGGAATTGATAGCATTAAGACTACTACGCTATCACTAAGCTACGCACAACCAACCATTGATGTATCGTCGGGGGAACACCTTGGTTGCGCAAGAGGACTTGTTGGTGTGCGAAGAGACTCCTTGGACTGAAGAGACACCTTGGACTGAAGAGGTGTCGACTAGTCATCCGGTTATTAACCGGATGTTGGGCGCGGTTACACCCTCCCTACTTAAGACAGAACATGCCATCAGCGCGTGGTCAAAATGAGAGGGAACTGTGACGTGACAGTTGAGATTGTGATGGCAGACGAAGGCAAGAAGCGCAAGGCGAACGAGATCGCCTAGGATGCCGACGACAGCGTCGAAGAGGACGAGGCGCCGGCGCAGCAAGTGGAGGTGGTGGACCTCACAGCCGAGTCGGATGACGACGGCGGAGAGAGGACGCGGCTGAAGTGGCACAGATAAGGCCGACTGGGAGGCCAAGGCGGCCGTGAAGCGCGAACGGCTTGGACACCTGGAGCAGCAAGCGGCTGCCGACTTGGTAAAGAGCGCCATGCAAACAGTGGGCGCCGAAGGTGTGCAAAAGCTGTTGGAGCAGCACTTGGCACAGGATGAAGCCGCCAATAAGGCAAGAGCGGCCGAAGAGGTGAAGGCGAAAGCAAGGCGGGCCGAAGAGGCCAAAGCGATCGCAGCGGCTGCGGCGAAGGAGGCTGTGGAAGCAGCGAGGAAGGTGACCAGCGAAGGTGTGACTGGGACCCCTTCAGGCGATGGGGGACATCCCAACGCTATGTGCGTTGGGGGAAAAGAAAGAAAGGCGAGCGGCGTGGGAACCGCCGTTAAGACGGAGGCCAAAGTGAAGGCTGAACTTGTTGGACCGGCCTCGCCCGAGACGAAGTGTTTGAGCAAGAGTTGGGCTTCCACTGGGATCGCTCTCGGATCTTCACCCCTGCCGGTTGGGGTGGCGTGGACATGGACTATGTGCGCAACGTTACGCGCCATTTGACGGTGGTGCGCGAGTTCGACGAGACTCGCGAGGATTGGGGATACCAGGTGGCCAATGCTGCCGGCGTGGAACGATACCTGCGCTTGTTTGGAAGCGCCCAATCGTTTGAGTTGCGGGTGATGTGGATGCTGCTTGCCATGGAGTGCATGCAGCTTGCGAGGGTGAGTTTTCACCGGTTTGATGAGTTCAAGGGCGCCATGCGCGAGTTGCATGAACGGGAGCGCCTGGAGCGGATCGAGCTTTGCAATGATGAAACATTGCTGGAATACCTCGTAGCGTTTGTGTGGACGCTGGTCAGACAAGGCAGCGGCCGGCATGGGCAGTTGCCGCTGACAGCGGGGCAGTTGGCCAACTCGCTATCTAATTTCGCCGGGGTGCGGCGACAGAAGCATGGGCGTTTGGACGCACGGTCTGTCGTGTGGATTGCCGCCCGCGTAAATATGCGGCGCGGGGCTGAGGTAAGTGTTGTTTAACATAATCTTCTGATTGCCAAGTTGTAGTTGGCCCGACACGCACAGCAAACTGCCGACCCGTCGCTGTCCATCGCGAACCCACGATCGCGCTCGCGTGGGCGATCGGTGGCGCCAGGGCGCTCACCCCCTCGGGGCCAAGCGGCGATGTCGGCGGCGGCGCAAATGAAAGGGGCGCGGGTGACGCCAGGCGGGTTTTCGGTGCTCCCTGCGAGCGCCTGGTCGAGCGTATGGGCTTCGCCGAAGGCGAGTTCGTCGACGTGGGCGCGCGAAGATGCGAAGGTGCCGGGCGATTGTCGGCCGCGCGTCCGACGAATCCGTTCGCGGGGTACTATCCGCCGTCGGGACCTCAACAGGATGGTCAATTGACAGCGGTGGAATGGTAAGCACCCGCAGATTATCGGGCGGGGGCGCGGGGCGATTTGCGGCGCCGCAACAAGTGGTGGTGCCGATGTCGAGGACGGCGACGGTTGGGGAGTCGGAGGAGGAGGAGAAGTCGGAGGCAGCGGACGAGGAAGAGCCGCCGCGGGATCCGAAGGATCGGTTGCCGTCACTTCATCGGTCGTAGGAGTAGATAATAACGGTAAATAACGTTTGAGCTAACCCACATAGAATGTTGGATGGATCTGCTATGAGGTGGGCAGGCCAAGCTTGTAATTGGTGGGACTGAC